TGAGAAAGAGAAAAAAAAAAAACACCGACAAACTGCCTAGATAAATCCAATTGGAAAATGGATACTAGCGGCGTTTAAATAACAATTTCGCTTTATGTTACAGTGACGTATCTTTCGGCAATTTCGATTCTTTTTCCAGTTACAGTTAATTTTCCACATTCAGATGTCGGCGTAATTTAATCATATTCAGAGTAACGAAAGAGAAAAACTCTTGCGGCGGAAAAACAGAAAAAGAGAGAAAGAGAAAGAGGACGAGTTATTGAGTGAATATGCACCATACAACTGGCTTGCTACGCGGTGATTGATGAATGACGACAACAAGCGCAGTAAATAAATCTTTTTGCATCTTTTTATATTTGTTTTTCGCTAATTGGTTGTTATTGATAATAAATCAGATCTTAAACAAATAGACGAATTAGGTAGAAACGGAGTTGAAAGTTTAACACATCAACAAACGCGTACCAATTATAAGACGTTTAGCCTTACCGGATTCTTTGCGAAGTTTTTTCGTTGGCCAATTTTAATACAAAAAATACATTTTTCGGTAGATATCATATTCCATTCCAATCAACGTAATGACGAATTTTTGTGAATGAAAGTATGTGCATTGTATATGTGCATGTACCATTGTCTATTCACAGGCGTGTATCTATAATTCAATGCAACAATATTGTTCAACCACACATTCATTTTTATATTATATTTTAAAGCAGTGTGATGCACTTCATGTTACAAGCAAAACGTATTTAGGAGAGTGAAAAAAAGGAGAGAAGTATTGCAATATAAAATGTGAAACGGGTAAAATAGGTGTAATCTTGCTAATTGAATGCTTGCCATTTTGAATGCTGGGCAAAGTTTGTAAAGTTTTCCCGTTGGTTTTCAGCATTGTGTGAATATTCTGTTCACAATGCACTAACAACGCGACTTGGTCGCTCTTCTTTTCGCATGTGCAGTAGTTTTTTTTTGTTTTCTTTCATTCGCATGTACCTTGTACATATCGCTCTCGTCGTCCATTTGACAGTGTGAACTGTTATCGTTGGTCCATGGGCTTATTCTATATTTTTTTTCTTTTTTTGCTTTGCAAAATGGCAATCGGCTCATTGCACGAGATGTTATTTTATGTCTCACTAGTTGTTGTGCACCTTCTTTTTTCCTTCCTTCTCTCTCTCTCTCTCTCTCTCTCTCGTGCGCTCTTTTTCTCTTCATGCAATTTCCACAGCTAGACGATTAATGTTCACGTTTGCGCATGTGCCGAGTGCTTGTGCACACATTCTTTACATGTTTCTCTCTATAAATTATCAGACATTTAACAAATGAACAAACAATTTATTAAGTTTTGAAAAAGAAGAAGAAGTAAAAACGCTGTAAAAGAGAGTAAAGTAAACCGATCATCGTTCAAATTGAATTGGAGGAGTTTTCGACGGATGTGTGAATGTGGAGGTGTAAATATGCACACGCACACGTTATACATACGGCTTTTTTTTTATTTTCTTCTTTGTAGACTTTGCAACGATGCAAAAGAAATTCAATACGGTAGAAGGAAGGAGCGTTGCAAATGGGCAGCGCATCTAATGTATGGCGGATAAGAACACAGCTGGTCACATTCACAATCGGTTTTTTTTTTCGTTAGCGCACACACAAATGATTTAAACGAATCTAATGTGCGGTTGCAATTGTATTGTCTTGGTGCTTAGCTTTAGGTGAAAATCTAGTTTACCTTTGGCAAAAGAAAAACATTTCAGCATTGTAGTGAAAGCAAAATAAAAGAAGCAGAAACGAGAGAGGAAGAGAGAGAGAGAGAAAACAACCGTCCTAATACGACTGAAAGAAACTATTTAACGCTATGGAATTTCGTCGATTTTTCTACCATGCAATGGAATTATGTGTGTGTCGTCTGATTGTCTGAAAAGGAAATACCTATTGGGACCGTGGTCAACGTTTGATGCAAACCGATTCGTTATAACATTTGTTGTTTTCTGCTCTGCTGTCTTCTATCCATTGACCACGCAATTTATTATAATAATCATTTTTCGAAGAGTTGTTTTTTTTTTTTTTTTTTATAAAAAAAACCAACAAATTTAAGCTGTTTTCATTTCCACATCATGTCATAATGAACACACTGCCACATTACATTTGTATGAACGCATTCGACTTTGGCTGTTGTTGTCTTATCAAAAAGATCATGTTCATCGGAATATAGAAAATATGTAAATCGCTTCGAGGTTATTCATCAAGTACAGGGCTCTTTTATGTACATTAATGTAAGTATTACATTTAATGCAAATATAATACAAGATCGAAAAACGCATCTCACAAAGTAGTACCAAAAACAACATTCGGCCTCCCATTTCGATGAATATTCCAAATGGTGAGCAAAATGAACCGAAATCGATTTATTTCAATTCCAATTTATCAATTTATCATAATTCTGATTTATATACCTTGTAAGAAAGCTACTATGAATAAAAAGCAACGACCTCACGCGGATATATGTCTATTGTGCTATGTTTTGGTGTGCAGAGATCTATACATTCACGATATGCAAACGATGCACAGACCTCGGTCAATTGACAAAGTAAATACAACAAAAAAATAGTGTATAAGAAAACGGCACGGTCGAACGACGAACGAACAAGCACCAGACCTAATGAAAATAAACGGATCGCACGTGTGTGGTTCGATCAATTGCAAATATTCCGAAAAAATGCTGTTGTTGCTTTGAACTCTACTCCTTCTACCTATATGCTGTGTATGCACGAATTTATTCATTTATTTTTTTTATTTAGAATAAAATACATTGAACCATTCTGAATGCTGAAATGAACAAACACTCTAAGTGAAGCAAAGATTTATGGTTGATTTTGAATTTGTTTTTTTTTCTTCTCTTGCTCATTCAAATCGTTAAAATTCCATTCGATTTCAATGAATATTAAAGTTTATAGATTTTAATCTGTGTTTAATGTGACAGAATCAGCAATTAACGGTTACTTAACAACCAAAAATATGTCACCAACAGATTTAAAGTAAATAGTTAAACAACAAGAATATTCAGTTTTATTAAATTTTATTTGCTATTTCGATTCTCTTGCTTAGATTCCTTTTTATTCTTCTTCAATAAAATTGATCTTTTTGTCATTTTGCTTTACAATTCAGGTAAAAATTCTTATGAAAGTCATATAAAAAGAAAGTCATTGAATTTCGTTTAAACTTAAAAGAATGTTGCTGCTTAGACTGATGTGATGTGTGTATTTTGTGTGCTTAATCTATGAATTCGGTGGAAGATTACCCGAATTGTAAAATTGTTATTTTAATCGGCAAACCAATCATTATTATTTGTCTATTTAATAATATTTACAATTTTGGTTCTTTAACAGAATCTTAGAATCGTTTGTCAGAAAAATGAATTTTTTTTTGCAGAAAAAAAAATAAATTTGTCTATTGCCAATGCCGTTGATCTATTAGATGTTCAACTGTATTCTAAAGGCATTTTGCTGAATATATTCCATATTGAACTCTGGATTTTATTTTGCTTTTCTCAATTTTGAGCCGCAATTAAAAAAACAATTTTTTGTGCTTTGGCTATGCCAAGTACACAAACAATGCCCTATATTTCAGGTGGCACTAAAAAACGTACGTGAACCAAAACCCCATATTATTAATACTAGTATGTATAACATAAACGCACAAAAAATAATCACAAACCATAAAAACGTGATTTATTACCAATAAAGTATTGGAAAAGGTGTGAATTCGTAAAAAAAAGTCCGTGCTTAATGTGATTTGATAACCGAATGGCTCATTTGCTCGGACATAGTTTCTGAAGTTGAAGGTAGTGCCGGTAAGCGATGAAAAAAATTGCGAGGGGTAATGAAAATGTGTAAGAATTCACCAAATATTTTCAAAAATCCTGACAAATAAAAAAAAATTCAGCTCCTTGTTATGTTGCACTGCCACCAGATTATTCATTTCATTACAATGTATACGTGACCATTGAACCTTGGTACTTAATTTGTCATGAAAAAGAATCAGCCTGCGCTTGTGCTATGACTTGGAAAAATGATTCGGTAACAAGACATGGTCCTTGTATTTTCAACAATAAATCTTTATAAAATATCAATTGTGTGAACAAAAGAATTGTGATCAAATGCAATTCTTGTGATAGTAAATCCAATGAAATCAACAGACATCGTACGCGAATCACTCTTTCTCTCTCACGATTGCGCACCAATTTAAATTCCAATTTTTCACCATCGCAGCGCTTAAGTTAAATGTAAAAAATATAAATCGTACTTGCTGTAATTGCATTGAAAATAAAAAAATAAAACGAAATTATAGTATAGTAAGTCTTTTGTTTCATTCCAGAACAATCTTTATGAATTTCTTTAATTATTGCTTTTCCATTCTAATCCGTTTACAAGCTAGTGTCGTTGCAATTTCTGTAAGATATTTACATGATTAGACCATTCATTTGCATTTTCTTTCGTTCAAATGTCTACTTTGTCATCATCATCATTCTTCGTGTTTTAATTACTTCATTCACTTTACATTACTGCAATATGTTTGATTCGTTCATTTTTAATTTGTAAAAAGAATGATAAATCAAATGAAATTCGTTTTTGTATATTTAAATGAATAATTTGATTTGCCAATAAATATATTTATAAGAAGCTTGATATAGATAGTTTTGCTTTTTGTTTATGAAATTAATATAAAAAAATAACAATCTTTTTTTTGTTTTCTTAATGTGTGCAGGCCATTTAGCTGAAAAAAAATTGTTAAAATCAGTAAAATTTGTATTAATGTTAAATGTTTCAATAGAAATACATTGATTGATTGCTTAGTGTTTTGTGTTAAGCGCATTTAGTCTGTGTGGCCACCAAATGTTTGAATAAGCATGAACATTTTGCGATATAAAAAAATGCATAATTAAAATAAACAGATTTATCGAAGTCATTCAACAATTCGTTCGGTACTTGTGTGTGCTTTTGCTTTGTTATGTAATTTCCGTTTTTGTTTTGTTTTTTTTTTTTTTTTTTTGTACAATTTTTGAATAGGCCAAAAATATTGTATGTGTATTTGTTCGTTAGTGCTTCAGCAAAATGTGTTGCTCATTTGTTAACTTTACTTTAGGCTAAAATAAATTGCTTTTCAATTCAAAATAAACGACGTCAAATGAAAACGAAAATTAGGCCAATTTGAATATAAAGAAAGTGAGTGATGAACCTCATGGGGTTTCGTTTGGAGATCGATCCTAGGTGAAATTTTGTTAAAATGTTGTGGTTCATTGTACAATCTAAATGAACTTGATGCACTTTTTGTTTCATCGTTTCGCATCGTCATTGTCGCGGCAAATATATAAACTGGAAATTGGAAATTCCATTCATTTTCCATTCATCGTTTACAATTAGAACAAATGAAATATAAAAAAAAATAATTAATGGCATTAGGTATGAGATACAAACTGGTTTGATTGTGTGTTGTGGTTACTTGTTTTTGTTTTTCACATACATTTAGAGAATTCAAGAATTTAGAATAGAGATTTCCTTTCGCATTAAACTTATGATTAAAGGTTGTTCTGTTTTGTTTGTGGCATAAAAACTAGTACAATAATATATATACACAATAAATTTGTTATTTGTTTTATAATTTGTATACGATGCATTTGATGATAATTTAAATGTTAAATAATTTGTTTTGTTTGTTTTTCTTTTAAATCCATTCTTATCTCTTCGTTTATTCATTTTTTATATTTATTTTCTTAAATTGTCATTCATATCGTTCTGAGTATTTTTGCAAATGTTTTTTGTTGTTGTTGTTGAAGAAATAAATTACATAATATCTATGTATACAATAAAATATTTTTCAAAATGATCAAAGTGATTTTTTGTTTGCGTTTGTTGTCAGCAATAATTAAAAAACCGACCTCAATCCATATAATCAATGCATGTGTGTGTGTGTTTGTGTGATTTCTTTTTTTCTTTTTACTAAGTGTTACATTGAAAATTAGATAATCGAATCTAATTGTCTTGCTTGATGCAAAATTTTCTTTTGATGTCCTACCAACGTGATGCCCATATCGGAGAGTTGTTGTGCAGTCAATCGTGATATCTGTTTGAAAAATTGAAATTAGTGTGCTGAATGCGACAAAAATATGATATGCCATGTCAATGTTTACCTGTTGAGCTGTAACTAGATTGGCCTCTTTGAAATGTTGTGAGTATCGTGTCATTTTGATGCAATCCAACCAATGATCGGCATTTATGAAAACGACCCGTTCTTTAGCATCAACAATGCCTGCCATGCTTCCACCTAAGCCCATTGTACTTGCATTACCTAAACCTAATGTGCCAATATTGATGCACGTTTGTGTATCATTATCGGGTGAATTTCTCACTTGCAACAATGTCATTGGTTGCCGTGCCAAATTGTCCAATGTTGTCACAATGCTAGAGAAGGTCGGACGATGCGTTCGCTGCTTTTGCCAACAATCCAACATCAATTGATACAAAGCTTCAGGACAGTCCATTGGCGCTGGCAAACGATATCCCTTTTCAATGCTCTTGATTACATCCTGATTTGACCAATTCCAATATGGTCGTTCACCATATGACATCACCTCCCATAGAACAACACCGTACGACCAAACATCCGATGCTGATGTAAACTTACGGAATGCAATCGCTTCCGGTGCGGTCCAACGAACTGGAATTTTACCACCCTGTGAAAGTAATAAACAATATTTCAACCATTTCAAATGTAAACGAACTCATTTAAATCATTGCAAATCAACTTACGCGTGTTGTATATGCATCGCTTGCATTTTCGATTTCACGTGACAATCCAAAATCGGCAATTTTGCATACAAGCTGCACATTGACCAGCACATTTCTAGCCGCTAAATCACGGTGTACATAGTTCATATCACTTAAATATGACATGCCGCTTGCAATACCACGAAGCATGCCAATTAGTTGCAGCGTTTGGAATTTTCCATCATTTGCCTGTGACGAATGAATTTAAATAAAAAAAAATAAAAAAAGATTATTACTTTTACAGAGATGTTTGAGATTTTTCAGGAAATTTACCCGCAAGAATGTATCCAAGCTGCCATTTTCCATGTATTCTGTAATGATCATGACTGGATTTGATCGAGTTACAACACCTTGTAAGTAAATCACGTTCGGATGATCAAACTGGCCCATTATCGATGCCTCGGTGAGAAAATCGCAACGCGCCTTTTCGGACGAACCCGGTTTCAATGTTTTAATTGCAACATCAATATCCTGAACGAAGTTCGGTGGGATTTTTAGACGACCACGACAAACATCGCCAAATTCACCGCCCCCTTATTATTTGAAATTCAAAATGAAAATGATTTAAAATTTCATTTTGGCTCACGGTGAAAATATATTCAATTTTTTGACAATTTCACTTTGCCGTACAAATGCGACGAAAAATCGAATTACAAACTTACCAATGATTGCTTCGATGGTGATGTAACTGGCGTCGATTTCACGTGCAAATTCTCGTATCGCTTGATTTGGATCTTCATAGGTGTGTGGATCGACATAAGATCGGCTCGTGCCAAACAATGGAGTAGTCACTGGAAAATTTCGACGTTGACGATAATAGCCATCATAGCCTTTATTTTATTCGGTTTATGTTTGGATTTTTTTTATTTAAATTTCAACACACCATGCGCGTGCACATTTACCATTAAATTACAAATTTTTGTATGTGTGTGTGTGTTTTTTTTTTGTTCAAAACATTTGAAAATCAATACGCAAAAAAATCCATATTGAAATTACATGCACACGCGATTCACGAATATTAACAATATTCAATTTGAAGCAAATACCAAAGTCAGAGAAAAGTCAATTGTTACGTAATAGAGAAGAATAAAAGCACACAAAAATCACAATGAAATTATTTCCAAAAAAAATTCGTTATTAAATTTGCACACATGAGTTACAGTAGAGAAAACCAAAGCAAAAAGTTATTATTACGGCAAGCAATTGATTGTGTTTGCAATTTGAATGTTCAGTTTTATATTATGCAAATAGTAGCGCGACGTGAGCGCATTTGAATTCAGTTTTTTTTTGTTTCGTTTTCGATTCCAAACAGTTTTTTGTTGTTTATTTCGGTTAATATTTTTTTTTTGTACCAAACACATTTTTTTAAGCATTTTTGTTAATTGAAAAAGAGATTTTTGATGAGCAAACAGGCATAGACACACATGAAATGAAAGAGAAAGAAAAACAAAGAACAGACACATGAAAATACAATAAAAATGATCAAATGTTACTTCAATTACTATACACAGAGAGAGAGAGTTAGAGAAAAAAATGCATTAGCTATTAAATGAATTGGCAGTTTCAAAGCAAGCAGCTTAAAAAATGCGAGAAGCGATTGTTTTCTTTTTTCAATTTCAACAAACAAATGTTTCATTCTATAACTATAAAATAAATGACAATCTTTACCATTATTTTGAATTGTTTTCACAATAGGCGTTGTGTCCATTGCGTGAACTAGAAATTGAAATAAAATAAAACACATAACACAAATAAATAAAACAAAATAATAACAAAACACAGCACATAGACAAGACAAATTTTAAATGTTTCATGATTTTTTGTTCGTCCATCGATCTAAGAGGTAACAAAAAACATTCAATCATGAAGGAGTTAAAAACACACATGCTTGAGAAAAAACGTGCAGAAATATAGAAAAAAAAATATACAAAGCATGCACTGAAAATCAAAACACCTATTTACATGCACAAATGGGAAACACACACATATACATAATCTAACACACAAGAGATAAACCCCACAAATTATTTTAGGATTCCTATTAAAAAATGAATTTGTTAGGTTTCCTTATAAAATCGCAATATTTTAACAGGAATCCTAATAAATTGGCGCGCTTAAACGTCAAAGCCAACCTCACTGTGTTGAAACAAAACATGTTTTATTATTTAAAGGTTTCCTAATAAAATGTTGCCATATTATAAGGAAACCTTACAAATTAATATTTTAATAGGAATCCTAAAATGATTTGTCAGGTTTATTTTTTGTGTGAAATTAAATCTCATTTGAGAACGATCTACATTTTTTAGCAAAAATTGATATTGTTGTTTTTAAATAGGGAAATCACACCAAAAATGTTTCGAGGAGACTTACTATATGTAACTACGAGTCCTGAATGCATGTGACCAAAATAAGAAAAAAAAGATAGAGAAAGAGATATTTCAATGTTTTTGCTTCAATTTTTTAAGAAAAATTTACTAATCAATGTGAATTCTATTTCGATTATAGTTCAAATTTAAAATTTTGTTGTTTGAATAGATTATTCTAATATTATAGATCAACGTGTGGGAGAAATGTGGGACTGCATTACCGACTTATTGTTCAATGAGGCATTTTTCTAGGTAACATTTGGGAATTAGTTTCAAACCGAATATCTTGGTGAAGTATTAAAGTGAAATTTTGATTTTTTTTTTTTCAATTAAATACAACTATTCCAGAACTAAATTCGAATGAAAGTGAATTCTACTGTATTGTATACTGCGAATTACGGATCCACTATGTTCTAGATTTTCTTTGAAAGTAAGAGCATTTTTCTCACTAATTTGTCACTTTTTTTTTCATTAGAAATATACAGTCTTTTGAAAATATTAATTCCATCGTTTAATTCAAGGAGTGAGTAGGTTCTTTACTTGACTTGAGATGTGAAAGAGGGAAGTATGATTCGTTTGTTTGATTTTATGGTTGCCATTTTAATGGCACGGGATTGTTAGTTTTTGCACACCAAATTAAGAGTGTTTGTAAGCTCCAACAAAAAATAAAAATTAAAATCTCAATCAATTTAAGTGAAATATTTAAAAAGATCAAGTCAAACCTCTTTCTAATATCAAGTCAAACAAACTTACACACCTCTCGGACTGAGCGATAGAATGGTTCAATGTTTTTTTTATCGCAAATAAATTTCGATTTATTACATATAAAAATATTCATACCTTCGTTGCTGGCATAGTCCATTGGCAGTGGCAAATGGTTATTTGTCTTTTTATCGAGTTCATCTTGACTTTTGGAGCGCAGGAACCACACACTTGCAACGATTACTATAAATCATAGACATTTTTTTTCTCTCGTTAAAATCCATTCGAAATTTTTTGAAGTCAGCTATTGATGAGAGTACTTACCTAAGACTAGAATGCACACAAACGCAACTGTACCTCCAGCCAATATTCTCATTTGCATTGAATCATCGTAAACTGTAAGAAAAAAACATGAATTTAGACGATTTTCATTCAATAAATAAATGTCTAGTATGAAATTTATGGTTTTTTTTCTTTCTTTCAATAATTACCGGGACTGACGCCTTGATGAGTTTGTCCATAGATGATATTACTATATTGGCCGAAACCATTTGCCGTTTTACAACGTACTTGAAAACCATATTCAGTATTTTCTTGTAAATTATCGATGTGTGCCCGTTGCTCGTGTGTGCTGAGTGTTGTTTTATTAGCGGCATCAAGTTCCATTTTTGGGAACCATCGAACTTCATACGATTCAATGGGAGCTTCGCTCGGATTGTCCCATGCCAATTCGACTTCATGGCTTGTAATCGATACAATACGTATATTGAAAACCATACTCAATATGGCCGATTCGGTGGTAAATGTAATTTCCGTAAATTCGGTTGGTGGATCATTGATTGAGGTTCCAGTGCCCGCATTATTTGCATATACATTTGAATTATGACTCGGTGAATCGGTGATATTTGCATCAATATTACCATCGATATCTGTATAAATTGGATATGAAATGCTATTCAATGCATGAATTTGAATGGTATATGTGGTGACCGGATCTAAATTGTTGATTGTTAATTTTGTATCGTTGAATGTTTCGGTGGCCGGAATGAATACCACATTTGAATTGCATGCGGGACATTTCACTTTGAAGACAATGTCACTTCGATATTTTGAATCGTACAGTTCATTTGTTGGTCGTTGTGGTGCATTCCATGATAAAATTGCGCTTGTTTGATCCATAAATAAAAGTGTCAAATTGGTTGGTTTGGTTGGTGGACGGTAGCATGGCATATTGAGGCTATCGCGTGGATGACGATAATACCCATCAACACACGCACAATATGAATTACCACTTTTTGTCGCCTTCGAATTCAATGGACATGCTGTGCATTTTGTCACCTCACTTGAACGGAATGTTCCAACCGGACAAACTGAAATTGATTAAATTTTAAGTAGAAATAATCGACATAAAAATAAAAATGGGAATTGATCGTTGAACTGATTAGTACCTGTGCATGTTTGCTTTTCGTAATCTGGTTCGAAACCGACTTTACACTTGCATCCGCTTGTTAATATCGTCCATTTGCCATCACCTTTGCATAAGTACGTGGGTGGTTCACTTGATTCGGCATTCTTTACACAGACACCGGTTTGTTTTTCGATAATTGTGATTTCACGACCCGTTGGCGTTTCATTGAAATGGGCGAAATTTTCTGTGATTGCCGGACACGTGATGTAATATACTTTAACGGCCAATACACTAATGCATGCGCCCTGATCGCGGAATGCAAAATAAACACCTTTTTTCGTCACTGCAATGCTCTTCACCTCTGTATTGATATCGACATCGGAATTTTGATTGAATCTTCCTTCGCCGGCCGCTATTCGTGCTATAAAGACAAATGACAGTTTTTTTTTTGTAAATGTTATGTCTATCGACAACATATGTTTTTCTTAAATTGGAAATTTACTTACCAATCAATTTATAACTTTCTGGTTGCCATGGTGGTGGCTCCCTTGTGGCCGCATCGAATTCGTAGAATAGCAAGCTAAATGTTTCTTTACACGATAGAGCGTTGCCAGGGAAGAGGGAACAGTCACGAATTGTAAACTGAATTTCAATGTATAAACGATTTGCCGACCCGCGATCAATGAATGGTGACCAAAGCCAATTATTCACATTATTATAAGCCACATCGCATACGACGTAACTTCGCCAATTGATACCCTTGCCAAAGTTTGTGAATGATTCTTCAACCCACTAACAATCAAAGAAAAAAAGATGGTTCAGTTCAGTACAAATTACGTAGGTTTAAAATGCAATTTTTTTCGAAATGCTGATACTTACGCCGGGCGTCTGAGCTTGCGGTCCATATGGATAACGAGTCCATTCAAGTGTGGCTTCTTTTGTTGTGTCCAACAAGACGACTGCAAAGAGAAAATGCAACAAACATTTAAAAAAATATTTATTTTGAAAACATAAAACAAACTATAAAATGAAACATTTTCATCATCGAGGCGATATAAGTACTGAATGGTGAAAACTTAACATCAAAAAAGAACTGTACTGACAACACACACAAAAAAAGAATAGAGTCGTTCATTAGTAAACAATGTGTTTTAATTTTTCTGATTCATACGATGATTCATTAACGAAAGCAAAAACAAATACTTTCATCGCCTGAATGACTCATGATTGGCACTTCATGTGGAAAACGTGTAACAAAAAGTGATAACTAGAACAGCAGAAGGATGACACTTACCTTGATCACAGTTGGTTTTGTCCAGCAAATAAATGATGAATATTACAAAAATCATATAAAATCGACTAATATGATTACAATGTTGAGTAAAACTAAATTTCTTGCTAAAATGCATCTGTGAAGAATTTGTGTGCTCTGAGTACTGTTCATGATAATAATGATGATTGTGATGTTGTCGATGGGATTCTATCGGTTGTTGCCATCGCTTCGAATGTGTTCGATGAATGTGATTTCGATTACTAGCTATGAATGGCGTTTCGATATTGGAATGTTCGATTTGTCGTTCCTGGTCATGTTTACTATTGAAAAATGGCAGCTTGGTTTGTTTTGGCGATTTGTATGTTTTATGTTCTGAACGCGAACATTTTTGGAGTCTTTCATTCAATAATGTCAGTCTTGAACCGTTTAATACACTGATTTTGTCCATGTTTTGCTTTGTCATAATATAGCCGGCGCACAACAAACAAAAAAAATAAAAAGTTTTGTCAGATAATCATGAGTGCTAAATTATGTCACCACGCAATTTCAATTAATAAAAAAAATACACAGCGATACATATAAATACAATTCGTTTTTTTTCTTCGATTATTTTACGTCGATTTGAAAACTGTTTCTTGTCATTTCGAGCACATTTTTGTCAATTGTAATTTCACCAAACGAAAACCAAGCTGTAAATCCATCTTCTTTTTTTTTACTTTTTTGTTTTAATTCTAAGCATGGAAGCAATTGTCCACAATACTTTTGTTTCTCTTCAATTTTAATTGTTTTGGGAATTTTCTTTTTAATTGATATCGCTGACTTGCATTTAATTAGTGGCAAGTTCTGGGTGCTTTTTTTGGTTGCCGTAGTTTTCGTCACACTTTATTAATTTATTGCCGTTGTTTTTGTTGCTTTTGATGTTGATGATGATGACGACGCACAATGGGTTCTTCTCATTTTGATGTCAATTCAATCGTTGACTTGGATGAGCTGTGGGAAGAAATGAGCATTAATACGATGAATCAAACGGTTCACCGTTTTGTTGTTGCCAAAAAAAAAAAAACAACATAAAACTCGCATGAAGGTCTTCATTTGTAGTTTCTTTTTTGGTTAAAACCGTTTCCGGTGCACCGGTTGATAATGTGGTCATTTTAAAGGGTCTAATTCGATGTCACACATCAAAAATAACAAATATATCCATCCACGATGTATGCGCTAAGAGAAAGAACGACTTCAACGCATATGCAAACGAAACCGTATAATTTGGTGAAATACACAAACAAACCGATGTGCTTGTTTGAGATGGAGAGAAAGAGCCACTCTCTTCTGACCGTGTGGCGACGGTGAATTGGCGAAAAATGAACACACAAATATGTGAACAAACGAAAGAAGAAAACAAATCAAAATTCAAAGCCGAAAAAAGAATATACAACTATGTTTGCCTAATAGCGATAGCGATTTTGCTCATGTTTATTAATTATGTGAACATGGTTGATTGATTGTTTACTGCTTTTTTTTACTCAACTTTATTTATGGTATTTTGTCAGCTAATCCGCTTATAAGTTTCGTTGTTAATAATCTGTATTTTTATTCGAAATGTCTTTTTTTTCTCAAATTTGTTTTGATTACATTTGGCTGTGATTAAACAATAATTCATTTTCAGTTTTTCAATTTCTCAAATTCTCTTCAAACAACGAGAACAATCTTAAATTGATGTAATATTTGTTAAAAGGATTACAATCATCATCTCTCTCACAATCTGTCCGTCTCTATTTGTGTTTGTTGTTCATTCAGTGAAATAATGATGTTGAGCTACGGCTTGGTAGAGAGAAGAAAAATAAAAACAAGAAATATTGTGACGAAACATTGTGATGAATGTATATGAAAAAAGACCGAAATGTTTTTAATGGTTTTTAATGGCCAAAAAAGGCACTCGAGAGAAAAGATAACTGAAAAAAAAGCCCCGTGAACGAATCAACGGAATCATCGAAAGATGAAAGGTGAAAGGAGAAAAGAGAACGAGAACAAGTCGCACAGTTTAAAAAGAATCGTGCATTTGTGATGAATTGAAAAAATCCAACACACGGCATACATATATGAGACGCGCTCACCGAGAAAAAGAAATAGCAACAAAAAGAATATGAGGAGCGACGAAGCACATTCACACAAGACACACACGGCAAACCTATGGAGGTGAAATTGCACCAATGGTAACACATTGACGAACAGAGTCAAAGAAACAAAAGAATATGTAGCAAAAGATACGAAAAAAGGAACTGGCAATGAAAGAAGTACATACAGAAAGAAAGAAGAAAAAACGAACGAAAGAAAGAAAGAAAGAATGAATAAAAAAAATGAAATCAAAAACAACGAGCGTGTACACAAAACTATGTATGACGATGACGGAGCCAAAGAAGAGCCTCATCGGATACCATCTCTCAATGTATAAAAAAAGACAGGCAAAAAAAATGTTAATTGAAAGTACGTCCAACTCCTGTCATTATTTTGGTTCGAAAAACTTTTGAATTTTTCGACCTTTTCATATGGAATTGCATGGAATGGAAACATTTTTGTTTCTAGCTACACCGAGATCCAATTATTAATTTCTGGGTGAAAAAGAAATTCACTTGGGCACACAACATACTGCGATGAACATACGGACTATTTCTTTCTTTCTCTTTCGCTCTCTCACTCTGTCCACGGAAAAGTGTCAACATGTTTTTTTTTTTTTTTTTTTTGAATTTGCTGCAAGTTTTCTGCAGGCAGTCTGCATTCACTTCGACGGCATGAAAGATTTCAGTCAACTTCGCACAAACTCAATCTTAGCGGATGGAAATTCATTCTCGGTTTGCATTTTTTATAGGAGCCATCCATTGAACAACACCATGAAGCAAACCATCAACACGCATACACATGCACATGCACATACGATTACACACATTTCATTTTGTACTGACAAAATGAACGAAAAACGACCGTCGAAAACAACAACAATAACATTTGACGACACACGACGATATACATATATGTGAGAGCAAGTCAAAGACACTGCGTTGTCGATGATGTTGATGATGGTGATGATGTTAATAGATATATAGTTTTTTTATTCGTCTCCCATATTATATCGATGAAGTATGATGATATAGATGAAATGGTCTATGAAATATATAGATATACGTAGTAATCTACATGATTAAAAGTTGGAATAAATCTCATTTATTCTCTTTGCACTTGGTTCATTGATTTTTTAGGGGTTCAGTTCTTGTTTGGTGAAAAAACTCTTTCAAAATTTATCGTCTTTCCGATTGACATTTATTTGTTGAAGTTTACACTTTCGGCCCGGAATGAGAATGAATATGAAGGCGGGTATTCACTGCAAAATGTACCAATAATAAAACAATATATATACTTTTTTTTAAATTATTTGAAACTATAAATCAACAAAATATCCACCATAATTTTCGAAAAATAAATTATCACACATCGAAAAATTTGTTGTAGATTTTCTAAAATCGGTCTCCTGATTTTGGAGACAAGATAGACCAGTAAAAGCACTCATACACATATATACACCAGAGGTATTTGCAAACGCTTCAAATCACTCAATCACACCATTGATGCAGCACAGTTAGACAGACTAATAATATAATGATTTATATATATATAAATGTACAAATTATTCCATTTTTCAAGAGAAAAATACTGAGCACCAAACATTTTTTATATTGAAAATCCATCAAATGAAGAGTTTTCCACTATTCACTATATGTTTTGTGTGTGTGTGTGTATTTTTTTGTATTTGGTTAGATGCACTTCTTGTGTTGTCGATGCCCGTTTTCTTTTGCCTCGATTATTTTATGTATACACACTCTTTATCTTCAGCTAAATGTATTTTATGAATACCAAAACCCAATAAAATCACCACAATATAAATTGTACAATAAAATTAAATGGAAATGAAAATGAAATACTTGAAAACTTGTCGATAATTTTTTTTTGATTATTTTGTTATAATAAATAATACTATGTGTATTCTTTAGCGTCCTTCCACATTGGATTGTGGGATTGAATCGCGTTTTGTTGCACACAACCACACACGATTTCAATATTTCGAACGAGAATCGGTGTAACTGAGACGCACGCAAAGTGAAAGAAAGAGAACACCAACAACAATGAATACGACGACAGCGACAACGGCAACCATCGTAGAATGAATACACAGACTGAAGATTCAGAGTCAAATCGTTTGGTTCACACGCACACACATACACACACACACAGACACAATTAACATACAGGAAAAAATATAAACCTGAAGAAAAGAAAGAAATGAAGAAAGAAACCACACACACCGAAATGGCAACTACTGGATGGTTGAAAAAAAAAACTTGTTCGTTCTTTTCTTCATAACACCACCATTTTCAAGGTTCTGAGTTAATCGATTGTTTGGTATGGTTTTATCTCTTGGTTTTGTCTCAGTGTATGTGTATGCGTCTGTTTGTGCATGTATGTGCGTTTATGTGTATATTCATTCGCATATTTTTGTGTGCGCGCACAGCCATTTGGCACTCGTGCATGTATTTGTGTATGCCTATGTCTATCTCTGTGCATGTGTATGACACAAAGTGAGTGTAAATGCAAGAACGTTTCTAATGAGATGATGCCTCACGCTGTGAATGTGAGTGTTGGTCATATGTGACGTTCGGAAAAAGACTTTCGAAATATTTTGTTATAAAGTTTGTGCATTTGGTCGGCACTCAAATAAGTTGAAATACGGTGATTGTATGCGTCTCAAAATTCATATATTCACACATATACATACGCGCGCGCTCATAAAATCCTGTGGCACTTCTCTACCAAGTGTGTAAAATGTTTCCAAATTGAAAGGTAAACCAATACGTATGAAATCTATTCGCGCAACCACACAACTGTACCAAAATGGTTAAGACAAACTCGATTTAAACACACTTTGTAGTACAATTGGTCTCGCTACTACCGTTGTTGTATTTGTTGCAAGCAAACAGCACATACGCACACATATAGCGATACTGTATATTTGGAAACCTGCGACCATTTGCATCCATCATTATTGTATATTCTGTTTGGTTTATTCTGGATCTCTTTTTTTTGGCGTTTGTTGTTTCGTTCGTTTGAGCTACCTTTTATCTTTGTTTGATGTCGCACTGCATATATCTCCCAAGTGTACTCTTCTTTCGGTTTTATACCATTGGATTATATCTACGATACGCATATATACCTATATGATGGCAACGGATTTTTATGTGAGAGAATGAACGAATAAACGGGCGGCTGTGTTATAAGAAGTACAAGTATGCATGCATGAAATGCATATAACATTACAAAGCACATCGAATCGAATCGAATCGGTGCTCCGGTTTTTCGGAGATTATACAAAGAACAAGAGAGAAGAAAAATGTTAAATGCCATTCCTGATGATTCGCTTTTTTCGTTTTTTTTTTATTTTAATCTCAATTTCTTTTGTTCCTTTTGTATTTTCTTTTTGTTTTGTTTTTACTTCGGCGCTAAAGTTGCTTTGGAAATGGCTAATTCTCTTAATTACTTTAATTTTTCTTCTTCGTTTTTTATTTTGGTTCAAGTCAGTATCGGGATTGGTTTCAATCAAATGTGTATTTGAATTGTAATTCATCTGCACCTATCTCGATCTGGACTGATTCCATTTCGGGCAATAATTTGGATAAAATTGTCATTAGGTTTAAACTGAATGTGCAGTAAAAAACTATGATTTTTTGCATATTTATTTATTTTTGGTATTTTTGTAGTTCGATGGGTTTAAATAAAAAAAAATCATAAAATTTTGGAATATATGCCGTTGTACTAACAATTCATTCAAAACTGTATTGGGTGTATCAATTAATTTTTACCGTTTTTTGGGTGAAAATGTAAGTTTATGTATTGCCCATCGTTAGCTATGACTTCCGCCCATCTTCTTGGTAGCTTGTCGATTCCGCGTCGAAAGAATTCCTCCAGGCTATCCAGTCATCGATCCATTTTCGCACTTCTTCAGCATTTCGAAACGATATTTCGGACAAGCCCATTTGCATCGATCGGAACAAGTGGTAGTCAGAAGGAGCAAGGTCTGGAGAGTACGCCGGTTGATCAAGCCGATC